ACTCTTTCCTGCCTATGCAGGGGGTCAGACTCGATGATCTATTGAGGTCCCTTCTGACCCTAACATCTATGAATCAAGGTAGGTACCCATGTAGCTTCACTGTATGAGCTTGGCTTCTTCTCTGCTTAGTAATGTCTGTCATGACTGCATGGATCTTATGCTTCTTTGTGATCCCCAACAGGACATAAAGGGCAGAGAAACTGCAGCTTTCCTTCAGTTTCCTCTCTTCACATGTGACACCAAGCGAAGCTGGTGAGTATTCAATCCATACTTCTCTTAAATTGTTTTTAGTTTTGTGAAGAAATCTCTCTCTCTCTTTGGATTGTCTCCTATGCCTCCTTCCTTCTGCCCCCTCCCCCCACACACTTTGTGCATCTGTAGAGCAGTGAGGCAGTACATGAAGAACGCGAAACTTGCCAAGTCTAAACTCTGGCCGTAATGCAGTGGTCTCATGTCCTTAATCAGTGGGTGTGGCAAATGCCCATTTTGCCTTGGGAAGTTGCATCCTTGAGTACATTTTAGGCCTTTCCTTCTCATTCTGTTTCCCCAGAGATGAGGGTGAGGGCTCAGATTACACCTACTAGAACAATGTTGCATCCATTTCTTGAGAAAAGAGAACAATCAAGTTGAAGTTCAGGAGGTTTTTCATAATAAGACCCCCGTTAGGGGAAATGGGCATTTTTAGCTTAGTTCCAACAAGGAGAAGAAATAACCTAAAATGCTGCCAAGAGCAACAGTACTACAGTACTGGTGCCAGGATCTTTAGGAGAGAATATGGTACTAGTGACCTCCATTGACAGTCTTGGCACTCTAAGATGAGTGAATGCTGAGCTGCAGATTTGCATTGAGCATAAGCACAATTTTGAGACTGCAAAGATTGTCCCACAAGATGGATTCTGTCATTCAAGAGAGAGAACATTTAAGCCCTGATCAGCATTATGGATTTAGAATAAAGCCAAACTTGTGAAGAGGGTGCATGAGACTTATGCCAATGGTAACCTTGATACTTAGACTTACTTTGGTACCAGTGGTTTGCTCAGTGAGCAACTTGTTGTACTTTAAGGAACTGGCACACATTCCCAACATGAACTGACCATGAAGGCTCTGGTACCAGACTTGCATCCAAAAGCACTGCTAGTCCCAGATATGTGCTTTTTCTTGCCATCTCCCAGGTATTTTTTCTATTTATCTAAGTTCTGAAAGGGACCTTAGAATGACTTTTGGACATTGTCAGTGCTAGGTACATGACTGCATTTGACCAGTCCATTGCCATCGTTGCAGTCTTACTGGAATATCACTCTTCCGTGTTGTCGAGGAATGGATCATTTGACATCTATTGTGAAAGAGGAGGTGGTTTTGGTCACTAATGGTTTTACTAGACAGACCTTCCATGCCTGAACTAGAGGAAGCCCCTTGTGATGTGGCAGAATGGCTTTGGGGATACTCCCAACTACCTCCACACAAAAGTCTTCATATTCTCTTTAGGCAGCCAAGCCAGCAGTTGTGTTGGCTGCAGTTGATTTTAAAGACTGTGCAACAGTTCCTGGAGATGAGCCAAATGTTCCTGCTAGATCCAAGATAAGGTGTGATGTAATTCCTGGGTGATGGCTTTTGGGATTCCAAAGGAAATTCAGGTGCTGATAGCAGACTTATCTCTGTTACACCTTCATAAAGGTTCATTTCCAGGGGTGGCCACGATGCCCCTGGAGACCCCCTCAGCCCTTGCCTCCTGGGCCTCCTTTGGGCGATCTCCCCTTCACCTCATCTGCCACACCTTGGTTCAATGATACCTTTAGGAAAGGGAGGTTACTCCAGGACTCCCCAAGTCAAATCTCCTCTCATGAACAGGGGTGTCCGTGCTCATTGCCTTAAGGGATAATAACATGGCTCTGACTGCTCCTTACACTACAGGTGTCACAGATGATACTCATTCCAGCTAAGATGCATCCCTCCTGGGCTATAGGCTCTCAGCCCCAGTCCTTGCCTCTCTTGGGCTATGGGCCTGTTGGACCCCTCTGCCTCCAGTTGTGACCCCCATTCTTTGGCCCCTGGGCCCTTTCTCTCTGGGCCCTGCCCCTGTTCCTAGGCCAGTCAAGATTCTGGAGCTCCCCTGGCCTTGCTAGTCTCTGACTGTTGTCCTCCTCAGAGCCTTCGGCCAATTTCTGGGTCCTGGCCCCGCTCCTGGGTCAGTGGGACCTTTGGGCTCTGTGGCCCTGCTGACACTCATCCCCTCCTAGGCTATAAATCTCCAGGCTCTCTGGCCCCTCTCTGTTTCTTCTGAGCCAGCTGGGACCTCCTTAATTCCCCTTAGTCCCTTCCACAAGCCACCACTACTGCTTACCCTCAGCTCAGATGTTACTGAGGAGCTCCTCTCCTCATAGTGCTCAGGACTAGACTGTCTGACCAGCTCAGGCCCTGGGCTTATATGCTTCAAGCCCCAGCCCCCTAATTGGTTCCTGCCACACCTGTAAACTGCCTTTCTTGCAGCCGTCTCCGTTCTTAAAATGACAGGCATACTAAGTGCCCTTGTTACAAGGGCTTGGATGGACGGGTGGGTGAAACTGGGTGGATGAAACTTTCTCTTTTTTGTTTCTTTCTCAGGGATTTGAGGGTGATGCTAAAATCATGCAGAGCTGTGCACTGGCTTTGTGCTATAATCCTTCTACTAGCCAGTCTCCAGCCTAAAAACTCTTCTAAAAAGGAATCTTTTTATTCCAAATGTGATGCACCTTGACTCCAGATGTGGCCAGGGCTGCCTTTGAGAGACGCTTCTGGAGTGTCTCTATGCATTCGTGGTTGCTTTTTTGCCCCCCCTGCTGCTTGACCACTGAGAACCAGTGGCAAACTCCTTGGCGGGTGGTGCCTCAGTCTTACCCCTCTGATAGATTTCAAGTCCTGGATGAGATGGGATTTTGCCAGCTAGAAGAATCACACCCTTGTCAGGCCACGTGCACAGGAAAAAATGGATCCTCCCTTCCAGAGAAGAGGTTTGTCTGGATGGTCAGATGCTCTTAAATCACAGTTGTCACTGACAATAAGCAAGTTATAAAAGTGTGCCTGTCTTCCTTGAAGCTTTCACTGAATTCTGATTCAAGAGGAAGGTGGACTGAAGTAAAGTTTATGGTACTTTTACATAGAAAAGTACATATGGTACATTTACATAGAAAATTTAGTGATGTAGAGCATCTCTTTCCCCAAGCTACTGCTTTATAACAGTTTCTGACTTGGAGTGACAACAGGAAATCTGCATACCACAGAATGCTAATAGTGTATTTGAAAAATAAGCTGTTTGATACTACTTTAAAGTTTTAAAATATTTTTCTTTTGTCTTTGAGTTATCCAAATGTTTAATGTTAATTTAATGCATGCATTTTATTTGTTTTTATTCATCATAGTTACACCATTCTTGGGATGTTCTCAAAGTAATAAAATCTTTCAGTATAGTCTATCCTAAAACTAGTATTATTTGACTTTTTAATAGAGAATTGAAAAACTTGAAGTTTGAAAGTGTAGTAAATTGGTTTTATTCAAAATGCAACATAGAATCTATATTGGCTATTTACAAGTGTTAATATGATATTTATGCATTTCTCAGTCTAATACCGTGTGGCTAATTTTTGGTGTAGCTGTTAAAATAAATAACCAATAAAAGGAAACATTACACTAATAAACAAGAGATGACTGGATGTGGCTCCGCTAACTGAGACAAGTTACTTAATCTATCTTCAGTGTTTCCTAGGAATACAAAGTATTCTTACCCAGAGTGCTTTAACAGACCTTTTTCTTCAGATATATTTTTCTTCAAGTGTAGCTCTGGTAGTATTTTTTATGACCTGAAGTTCGTCCATGTGTCCAGAAGCTCCCAATACTTTTCCATTGCCTCTAATGATCAAGTGATCTTACATTCATGGTTTCAGCTTAATAACACACAAGTTGACTAGAGATTTGTTTCACATGTCAGATTTTCCAAAGGGTTCTGGGAAATTATTTGCGGTTCTGTATAGCAAAGCTAAAAGTTATTGAAAATGTGTTATAGTTTCATAATAAAACGGGTGAGAAAATCATTGGCTTGGGAGCTAACTAAATATTTTCTGATAGCCTTTGCCTCCAGGGGGATACTTGGATCACTTGTAATAAAGGGATATCTTTGCTATCTTTTGGAGAATTGACTAGTATTCTGCTTAGGTCATAATTTGTGAAAATGCTGGCTGGAAACAGAATGTTACACTATCAAATTGTATGTAAGCATTGTGTTAAGATGCAGCTAACATTTTTATTGTTTATTTCGTGAATTGTTAATACACCATTTGTCCTCTGAGTATGTCTTCTAATAATTCAGACTCTAGATATACCCTAGGAGCCTTTCTCTATTTTTTTCCCCCTTCCCATTTTCTAATTCTGATCTGTGTACTTTTAGATCACCGAGGAAGTTTTTGCTGAGGAAATTCGGTTTGCTTAAGGAACGCCTTCAGGTACATAACAACTGTGCTTGAATATTGGGGGCATACTTGACTTTATTTTACAAGACTGCATATGTAGCTTTGCTACTGGAAGTAAATTACGCTTCTGTAATTGTGTAATGTTTAACGACTCAGTTTCTGTAAATGGAGACAAAAACTTTTAGATGTCTTAATCTGAAAGTTCTTATCACGTACTAAATGATTGCAAAATTTTGTAGTGAATTAATTTGAGTAGCATAACCTGAAAAATCACTCCTATGTGTATATAGAAATTATCATGAATTGTGCCAAAAAACGTAGAAAATGTCAACTTGGTTCATCTCCTTTGTTCAAGGAATGACATAGTGAAACTAACACTGTGGTTCTAGCTGTGATATCAACCTTTTAAATTAGTGAATGTAGATGCACTTGTGCTGCCTTTGTGCGCAAGGCAACATGTATGTATTAATAAAATAGGAGAGAGATGTTGAGTGGTCTGAAGACGTTATCAGCTGATCTTTTGAGATTCTCATTATCTATGGATAATTAAGCCACAAGGTGATTGTTAGGTATCCCAAGTTATTGTGATATTGAAGTCTATGTGTTGCACCATGCTGTCATTCTGTGTATGAGCTCTAAGTTAGAACCTGGTTCAGCACATCCCTCTAGGACAGGGGTTGGCAATCTTGCTGCTGCAGGTCACTGCTTGTGATGGAACTCTGTTGCAGGCCACTAATTTCTGCCTACTGAAGTGAAGCATGTAAGCTGCCTGTATTTACTTTTGCCACTGAATTTAAATGTCCAGTGGCAATGGAAAGGGTTACATTCTGTGGCATCAGTGCAATAGGAACAGAACAGGGAGATCTGGGCAGTCAGCTGAGGCTGTGGGGGGAATAGATGGAACTAAGCAGGGGGTAGGACCCTGGGGACACCCCTTCTGCTGCCCAGGCTTATTGTGCCATCATCCCTTGGAATTCCACACTCTTCATGGGCTGTATTTGCCCTTCAAGCCATAGATTGCTGACCCCTGCAGTCTAGGACACCAGTTTTGTGCAAGTCTCTTGCTAGGTCCTGTGCACTTCTGGGTAGAGTCTAGTCAGCATTTCTAGTTCTGGGACCTTCAAACACACTCCAAGGTTCAGATATCTTGTCTGACATTTTGCTATGTTGGGGTGCTGTTGACAAGCCAGTCTCACTCCTGGTATCAGTATCAAATTCTCAAGAGTTCCACTTCATCCAGAGCTTCACCTAAGCTGTGGGAACTTAGGCTCCCAGCTTAACCCCTTCAGCAACATGGCAAGAAAGCAAGGAACCCAGGCATGTCAAAGGAATCTCTAAACCACAGTGAATTTTAAAGTATTTGAGTTATAAACCTTTGAATACAATAAAAGTCCTGATATGTATCTTCGTCTGGTCTGACCTGGGCCTATTTAGGAGTCCAAGGATTGTTGTCATTTTGCCCTGGATAGAACACCTCCTGCCCTAGTTCTGATTACATGTGATGATATAACCTGTCCTCACCCCTCCACAAACACTCCTCTTAAACTGTTCTTTGATTTAGTGCCAAGGATAGTGTACTATCCTTAGGGGTAACCCTAAGTAGTAGGGAATTCCTAGTAGCTGAGGAATTATCAGAATCATTGGTACAAGGCTGCAGTCCCGATGGCCATTAATGATGGTCATTCAGCAAGATGTCAACTATCTTTCAGGTTCAGTGTTTAAGATTCAGTAAAATGTCTGTGTGCATATCCAGCCTTTTACTGTGTCCAGTATTTCCACACATGGAATCAGACAGTTCACGGTTGGACTTGGTCATGCTGCATATGTGAAAACATTGTACAGAAAATCTTTTTTTAAAAGGTTTTAGAGAGTTTAAAAATGTTATTTCACCCTTTCCTCTTGTATTCTTCAAATTATAAAATCAACATCCAACTTCATAGTTTTCCCTCCCTCTGAGGTCCGTAATGAATGAATTTTATAAAACTGCTGGCCTAAAGTTTCTATCTCCCAGCTTTGTAGGTCTGTGAGATATTGGACATTAAATGTGCTAGTGGTTTGAGACTGGACATTACCTACTGTTTCAGACCCACTGTAATTTGTTGGTGTGGGGAAGTCCACTTTCATAGTATATTGACTTAAGCAAAATGCAACTGTCTGCTTTGGAATGTAAGAAATACTGCTGTTGGAGATTGATTACTGTAAGGTTGAGAAGAGGAGTGAAGACTTCTAATTTCTTGTTCCCCCTTGTGTGCTTCTGTAGTGGCCTGTAGTCTGACCTTTGTGGAGTTTGAGTGTTTTTGGTTAGAGAAACTGAAGTACAGAAGAGAAAAAAAAAACTTGGTTAGTTGTAGAATGTTGCATTTTTAGTCAAAATCCTCTGCAAAATTGACTCAAATGTTACATCCATAAATAGCCGCTGTCTTCACTCATTTGAAAAATAAGGCATTTACCTGCAGTCTAAGCAATTTTCTTTAGTTTGGGAATAAAACTATGATATATCTGAGCCTTGCAAATGATCTTTTAAAGAGGTAATAAAAGGTCTAATATTAGCTTAATAAATGGGTAGGAGTGATTAGTAATCAGCAACATATAGTACCGTTGATAAACCTATTACAAAATAGATATTCTAAAATGATATTTCATTTTCATTTGTGTTATGTACATTTTCCAACATAAGAGCATGCACTTTTTGTCTTAGTGCACATTAATGAAAAGTTAGGGTACTTTTTAAATATGATAGGAAGAAAGAATGCTTGATATAAATAGGGGGAAAGACTGATGAAATAATTTGCCTACAGTTAGGATTTAATCTTGGAATTATAAAGGTCACTAGTGTTCTTGCTGCCCTTGCATCTTTTAATGCTTGCACGTAAGGAATGTATATAAGATTAAGGATGTAATCAATGGGAACATTTATTTTTTTCAAATCAAATATTCTTGTGCAGCTCTTGAAAGGACACATGATAGAATATTAAAGACCCAATCTCAGAAATGATCACCAATATTGAAAGGCTACAGATTGCAATTATATTGCACAGTATTGCTTCCATTAGATTTTTGTAAAGTGGAAAAGGTGACTCTAGGAGGAAAAGGTTAAAATATAGTTTACCCTTTAGTGAGGAGTTTGACGTTTGGGATTCACATAGTTAAGAATAATCTGTGTCCTTTAAGAGACTATAACTGAGGAGGTAGATAATTTTATTCTAATTAAGATCTGGACTTCCAATGAAATAGAAATCTTTTTTGTACATCTGGTGTTTCTCTTTTACACATTGTGGCAGAGCTTATGTTATTTGGAAAATAAAATGTATATAATAAAAAGAGAGAATTTGCATGAAATTGAGTGGAAAGTCAGTCTCCCATCTTCTTCCTACTCTATCTACACAAAGGCTAATATTTGCCTTTATATTGTTGGAAGAAAGAGCTATTCTTCAAATTGTTAGACTTTTCCTGACATGTTATAGGACTAATACATTAAATTGTTGATGTATATTAACTCTTCAACTGCTAGATTGCCTTTAAATCTTTATTTCCTATGTACATAACTTTTACTGGTTTCAGTTCATTGGAATTTATTTTGTAGCCCTGAGAGCACGTCACGCTACTGAACAGGCCAATGAAATAACAGATATGGAAGAAACTGCATTTCAAGTTTTGTTGAAGTTGTTTTAAGACAGGAGTGTCAAGCTCATCCGGCCCCACAGGCTGAATGAGAGTCTGTCTGTCGGTTGGTGGGCTGGAGCCAATAGACAGGGCCAGGCCAGTAGAGCACCACATGCAGCGTGCTTCCTGTGCCTACCCTTTGGGCTGCAGGCAGCATGCGCCAGCACCTCTACTCCATGGCTTGCACTGCAGGCACTGCCTCCAGTTATGAATCCAACCTGCACAGAGCCCAGGGTGTGTGCTACATGCAGCACCCCGCCAGATCAGCCTTGAGTGCTAGTCATGATTCGGTCTCAGGCCATCCAGGTGGTGCCTGGCCAATGCACAAGACTGTCTGGTGGGGCACTGCATGCAGTATACACCCATGCTGCCCTGTGCCATGGGCAGCACCCACAGCTTCTAGTTCAGTCCACATGCTTCAGGCAGCACAAGGCCCAGAGTGGGGCTGGTGTGTGGTATACATGACATATGGGCTGAACTCAGTCCTGGGGGTGTTGCTTATGGAAGGGGTGGCTAGCATGGGGTATGGGCTGTATGCAGCACCTCTTCAGACAGTCTTTCATGCTGACTCCAGCATGACCTTATCTGGACTGGCTCCAGAGCCAGCGTGCAGGGTTGGTTCAGCATGGGCACGTCATGCAGTGTGCACCCCAGACCAACCTCCTGTGCTGCAAGCAGTGTCAGGTCCAGCCTGTACAAAAGTCTGGCTCCACATGCCTCATGTGGGGTTGAATCGAGACCCCATGGGCTGGATCAAGCAGCTCCTTGGGCCAGGTCCAGCCTGTGGGCTGGATGTTTGACACACCTGTTTTAATATTTAAAAATGCATATTGTTAGTGTCAACAAGATCTCTGTACCAGATTAGGCCATTCCATGCCCCTCTTTTGAAATAAGTCTTTTTCTTCCCACCCCCTCCCCCCACAGTGTAAATTCTTCATAGGGGCCTGTAGGTTTCCTATTTAATTTCCTGTTGAAATTACTAAGGTTTGGATCAGGTCCTTAATTTCCAAGCAGAGCTCATAGCACTTGCTACAATTTTATCTTATAAAATGTATTTTAAATGGTCATAGTAATAATATTTAATAGTTATCTAGTGACTTTAGTTCAAGACTTTTGCACTGCTTTTCAGCAGAGGCAGGAGAAGCAGTGCTCTGGTTTTTGCTCAGCCTGTTCTTTTTAGCTGTTCTTCCCTTGATAGCACATTTCGCTAACCAATAATTGGCCAGGTCTTTTGGCTACTGTCCGCATCCTCCTTTCTATAGAAACTTCTCCTCTTCTTATCCAGGCTTTGTTCTACATTTATAGATCAGATAGCCTGAATTCTCCTATTGCCAGACTGCTGGATTTGAGCCTTATTGAAAACAAGACCA